TCTTTAGACACAAATTTGGCCCGTCCGGTGAGTTATCCATGTATAAGGCCCGATGGGTGGTCCGCGGATTCAATCAGCTTTTTGGCGTCGACTATAGCGAAACCTTCAGCCCCATGATCAAGCCTGCCACGGTCCGCATCGTCCTTAGCCTCTCCTTGTCTCATGGGTGGCCCATCCATCAGCTAGATGTCAAAAATGCTTTCCTCCATGGACAGCTTCAGGAAACCGTGTATGCCAGCCAGCCTTCAGAATTTCAAGATCCTGAACAACCTCATCATGTTTGTCGCCTCAAGAATGCTCTTTATGGCCTGAAACAGGCACCCCGGTCATGGTATCACAAATTTGCAGGTTTTATTCAGACTATTGGATTTCGCGGATGCAAGTCTGACACCTCTCTTTTCATCTTCATGCATGCATCGGGGACCGCCTACCTCCTGTTATATGTTGATGACATCGTACTCACTGCCTCCTCGCCAGCACTACTACAGAGTCTCATTCAGAAACTCAAGGCTGAGTTTGCTATGACAGACATGGGTGACCTGCACTTTTTCCTCGGCATCAATGTCTACCGCACAGCTCAGGGTCTTTTCCTTCATCAGACACAGTTCACCCACGACATCCTTGAGCGGGCAGGGATGGTCTCCTGTCGCCCCATATCTACTCCCATCGACACAAAGGCAAAGCTCTCCTCCTCCTCCGACACGGCACTTCCAGATCCCTCCCTCTACAGGTCCATAGTTGGTGCTCTGCAGTATCTCACATTCACCCGACCTGATATTACTTATGCCGTCCAGCAGCTTTGCCTCCACCTGCATGCGCCTTGAGACTCACACCTCACGGCCATGAAGCGCGTTCTTCGTTATCTCAGCGGCACCGCCACCCATGGCATCTACTTGACCCGCTCCATGACCGACTATCTTCATGCTTACTCTGATGCTGATTGGGTTGGATGTCCTGACACCAGACGTTCTACTTCCGGGTATTGTATCTTTCTGGGCGACAACCTAATCTCATGGTCATCCAAACGCCAGGCTACCACGTCGTGGTCCAGTGTAGAGGCTGAATATCGGGCTGTGGCTAATGCAGTTGCTGAGACATCCTGGATTCGGAATCTCCTCCTAGAGCTCCAGCAACCCCTCCGGCGTGCCACACTTGTCTTCTGTGATAATGTCAGTGTTGTATACCTCTCCTCAAATCCGGTTCAGCACCAGCGCACCAAGCACATTGAGGTCGACATCCATTTTGTGCGTGATAAGGTCGCACTCGGCCACATAAGAGTTCTTCACGTGCCTTCCTCCTCTCAGTATGCCGACATATTCACCAAGGGACTGCCTTCCCTGCTCTTCCTCGAGTTCAAGTTTAGTCAGGGTATCCAACCACCTCCACACACACACACACACACAGATATATATATATATATATATATATATATATATATATATATATATATATATATATATATATATATATATATATATATATATATATATATATATATATATATATATATATATAAACACAAAACGATAGACACATGGCCAATTAGGCAAAATTATAACATAAAAAAGAAAAAAACACAATATTGATTTCACTTTTAAAAATATTTCAAAAACAATTTGGACCGGTTAAATTTCTAAAATAAATATTAATAAAGATTGTACTATTTTAAAAAACAACTATTCAAAAGGTTACGTTTAATTCAAGTAATACCTTTCTAAATAAACTCATTTTCAAATGACAAAAATATACAGATCTAATATATAAAGACCCAATAAGTAGAAAACTATGATTAAAAACGTGTCTAATATAAAATCACAAAATTTAGACAAAAGGGAGTATATAGTCGTAAAAAAACTTCTAGATGACTAAAAACTAAATTTAGTAACTGATGGATATCGGGTCCGATAGGCTCGACTCTAGGCCCAAATAAAGGCCCATAATAGCCCAAAAGTCGGATCAGACGGAGATGACGGGCCAAGCCCGTTATTGCGCATATGGCAAGTGGAGAAAGACGGCCGAGTCATGGGATAGATCAAGGTGACCTAGTCCAAGGGAAGAATGGGACACGTGGCCCACATCATCAAGTTGTGGACGAAATGGGAAGAGAACGAGACCGGAAAAGGGGGAATCACAACCCCATGATCTCCATAATCTTTTCCACTTTGTATAATTTTAATTACAATATTAGTAATACTATAAAAGGGGGGAGAACCCGCCCTTGTAAGGGAGAGACAATTGAAGACTCAAAAAAGAGAATATTATCGAGTGATTATATCTTCCTGATTCATATCTTGTTCTTGGTCCGCCATCCGATCGGGTTAAGCCCATCATTGGTGCTTCCATTGAGAGTTACTGTGAGATAAGGTTGTGAGATTATGGCCGGACGTAGGACGAGACGTAACACTGCTGTTTCCGCCCAGTCGACGGTAAGGAGTGACAACCCTGAGCAGGGTATGATCGTTCTTGTCAATGGGTTGGAAACGACATTGAATAATGTGGCTAACATGATGGCCAACATTATGGAACGATTGGATAAGGCTCTTCCAAGTCCATCCGGTATCCGGGACATCCCTGCCGGGCAACCCCGTCAGGTACTGCGTACTGCGAGTTCTCCTATCCTCTAGGAGCTTCATGATCCGGAAGAGGTTGAGAAGGAGAGACGAGCCATTGCCAGACGCCGGGCGGAGGAGTTGGCCCAGAATAGTAAGGTGAATGAGGACCGGGCCAAGGATGCAAGCCGGATCGTCAGTGATGGAAACGAAAACCCGCGGGGTTCCGTCTTTGAAAGGATATCTCGCCAGAAGGCTCACGTTAGTGAGAGGCTGGGAAAGAATCCGAATAAGGCACCCCAGGGTTAGATACGACCCCAGGCTAGCCAGGTGGCATCTTCTAACCGCGAACCCCGGAAGCGAAACGGCCGTAATGGGATCCAAGCGCCGGTCCGGTCAATGATGAATTTGGAGGAGGACGAAGTTCAAAGCCAAGCCAGGGTCCCAGCGCCACGGCGTTTGGGGCCGTCGGTACCAGAAACTGGTGAGTTCCAGGATCTGAGGCAGCAGATCCAGGAGATGCAGAGGAAGATAAACAAGGGTCGAGTTTTCACTACCCGGACGAATACTCCCCTGGCCCCAGAGATCTTTGCGGAACCATATCCGCAGGGATTCAAAATTCCGTTCGTTAAGCGTTATGATGGGGAGTCAGACCCCCAGGAACACATAAACAGCTATGTCCAAGTGATGATTTCCGTAGACGCCAGTGACACACTCATGTGCCGGTGTTTCTTGCAGACAGTTGATAGCAAGGTCGCGGATTGGGTCAATCGTATTCCTGCCGGGTCGATCCGGACATGGGATGAATTGGGACTAGTGTTCCTAGAGCATTTTGCCGGGAACTGCCGTCCCAAGAAGCATTTCACTCACTTAGCTTTAGTACGACAGAAGCATGGAGAATCCTTGAAGAATTTCCTTATCCGATGAAGGAAAGAGTCCATGGAGGTTGAAGGAACCGACGATAAATCCAGGTTGGCTATGTTCACAGCGGCATTACAGGATGGACCCCTTCACACCGATCTTACTACTCATCCCCCGGATACCTTCAAAGAAGCAATGGTCCGGGCGGGGAGGTATGTGACCCTGGAAGAAAGAAAGGAGTAAAAGAAAGAGAAGACTCCCAAAGAGGAAGAGAAGACCGGCAATAAGAAGCCGTTTAAAAATAAGAAGCAGGGTTTTCCGGACGGCCCAAGGGGCACAAGTCCTGGGACCCCAGAGAAGCACAAATCTGCCAATCCAGTCTTCACATTACCGGTGGCTGAGGTCATGGCCCACGCTGCACAGCAGGGACTCATGACTTATCCAACCTATTCTCAAAAGGTTTGCAATGTGGAGGATACTGGAAACTGGTGTGCTTACCATCGCAAGAATGATCACAATACAGAAGATTGCTATACCCTGAAGAATGAGATGGCAAGGCTAATCCGCCGGGGTCATCTGAAGAAGTTCGTGCAAGATGGAGATGCGGGAAATCCCGGGAACGCTCCAAATGGAAAGCGCAGAGATAAAGAAGTGGCCCAGGCTGAGACCCGGGAGAAATGCCACATTGGGCTTGAAGATGAAGAGGAAGATTCGGAACCTGCACCGCATCGCCAGAAGAGACACCATGGGTGTAACTTCATCATTGGAGGGAATACTGGCGAAGACTCAGCTGCAAGCCGGAAGAAGTGGGCAAACGCGGCGATGGTCAACAAGGTGTTGGTCCCAGAAGGTAAGAAGCTGAAATCTGAGCCAATTGTATTTTCTAATGCTGACCTTCCAGAGACAGGGGTCCCCCATAGGGATGCCCTAGTGATTACTATTGATATAATGGACTTACTGATCCACAAAACCCTTGTGGATACGAGAAGCTCCGTTAATATCATGTATATGGATACGTACAAGGCTCTTTGTTTGACAAGGGATGAATTGTCACCCATCAAAACTCCACTAACCGGGTTCACCGGTGACTCTATCAAACCGGATGGGGTGATAACCCTCCTGGTTGAGATAGGGGATACTAAGGCTACTCGGAAGTTGGACATGGAGTTTGTTGTGGTGGGGATAATCTCCAGCACAAACATCATCCTGGGCAGACCCGGGTTGGAAGATTTGGAGTGTGTCATCTCACCTCGTCACCTATGCATAAAATTCCCGACCCCCCCACGAAGTTGGAATTGCCAAGGGATCTCAGAGAGTGTACCGGGCATGGTATTTGAAGGCAACTAAACAGTCGGTCAAGTACGATACCCAAGTGGGAGAGGTGACTGCGCAACTCCTGAGGGCTGAGGAGAAACGTCCCAGAGTAGAAGTTGCTGGCGACATTGAAGAAGTGGAACTGGAGCCAGGCACGCCGGGAAGGTTGGTTAGGATTGGCAAGGGGCTGGGGGCTGAACTCAGATCCCGAGTGATTTCAGTCCTTAGAAGGTTCACAAGGGTCTTTGCATGGAGTCCAGCTGATATGCCAGGGCTGGATCACAAGATTACAGTTCATCGCCTAAATGTCCTGCGGGATGCTAAACCAGTGAAGCAGAAACAGAGGCATTTGTCGCAGGAAAGAAGAGATTTCGTAAAAAAGGAGGTAGCGACCCTGCAGGGCATTGGGCATATCCGGGAGGTGCAGTACCCGGATTGGTTGGCAAATGTAGTTCTGGCGCCCAAGCCCCCTTCGTGGAGGATGTGCGTCGACTACACCGATTTGAACAAGGCATGTCCCATGGATCCGTTTCCTCTCCCCAACATTGATCAGATGGTGGACGAGACTGTCGGGTCAGAGTTAATGAGCTTCATGGACGCTTTCAGTGGCTACCATCAGATTCAGATGCATCCAGCTGATGTTGAAAAGACAAGTTTTATGACCCCAGAAGGGCTGTACTGTTATTTGGTGATGGCCTTTGGGCTGAGAAATTCCGGGGCGACATATACCCGGATGGTTTCTCAGGTGTTCAAGGCTGTCTTAGGGCGGACCATGGAAGTGTATGTTGATGACATGATTTTCAAATCCAAAGAGGCCCGAGACCATGTCCGGGACCTTGAAAATGTCTTTGAAATCATGATGAAGGTAAATCTGAGATTGAACCCGAAGAAATTTACTTTTGCCGTTCAGGGTGGGAAATTCCTTGGGCACATGGTTAGCCGGAAAGGAATTGAGGCAAACCCGGAGAAAGTAAGGGCTATTATGGAGATGGAACCCCCGAAGACAGCAAAGGAAGTTCAGCGGCTGACAGGGAGATTGGCGGCTTTGAATCGTTTCCTTTCAAGGCTGGCAGAGAAGGCGCACCCATTCTTTGCAGTAATCAAGAAGAGGGCGACCTTCGAATGGACACCGGAATGTCAAGAAGCATTTGAAGAACTAAAGAGATATCTCGCAAGTCCACCGGTTTTATCTAAGCCGGAACCTGGAGATGTTCTGACTCTATACTTGGCAATTGCGGACTGTGCCATAAGTATTGTGATCGTGAGGGAAGAACATGGGGCCCAGCATCCGATCTATTATGTCAGCAAGACCCTGAGAGATATGGAGCTAAGGTATTCCCGTCCAGAGAAGGCCATGTTAGCGGTCTTCTGGACAGCGAAGAGATTAACTCCGTACTTTCAGGCTCACCGGATTGTTGTGCTCACGAATGAGCCTTTGGCGTCACTTACCCGAAGCCCGGCGCCATCTGCCCGGATGACCAAGTGGGCAGTCTTCATCAGTCAGTATAACGTGGAGTTCAGGCCGCGCCCATCGATCAAGGGGCAGGCACTCGCCGACTTTCAAGTTGAGTGCACCGCCATGGATGTGACAAGAGCCGAAATTCAAACCTGGGTGGAAAATGACTCGTGGGTAATGAGCATCGATGGATCTTCTGGAGCTCGATCTTGTAGAGCAGGTATCGTCTTGACCACTCCAGAAAATTTCCGGATCTATTACGCTATCAGATTTCAATTCCGCGTATCCAACAATGAAGCTGGGTATGAGGCCCTGATCAACGGATTGAAGATTCTCAATAAGTTGGGGGTAGCCAGGGTTCAGGTTTACAGCGACTCCCGATTGGTGGTGGGATGAAAAGGTATCGAGACTTGTCCTTAGAAATGTTGGGGAAGTTTGAGTTTAAGCTTGAACACATACCCCGGGCCCAGAACGCGGAAGCTGATGTTCTATCCAAGCTCAGCGCAGAGTCACCAGAATACATAAGCAAATTAGCAACAATCGAGGAGCTGGCAACCCCAAGTCTTAACAGAAATGAGGTGATCTGGGTATCAACTGACCCCCCGGAATGGCTGGACAGGTTGGCCAGATACATTGAAGACGGTGAGGCCCCGGAGGATCCCCAAGAAGCACGTCTGTTGCGAATGAGGGCACCTACCTACAAGGTGTAGGATGGAGTCCTCTATAAACGATCTTACAACGGTGTTTTACTCCGTTGCCTCAGGGCAGTAGAGGCAAAGGCACTAATGGAAGAAATACACGAAGGAGTGTGTGCTGCACATCAGGGTCCATACTCTGTCTCCAGAAGGGCGATTATTCAGGGATATTTTTGGCCAACGATGAGGAAGGATTGCGAAGAGTACGTACGCAAGTGCCCGACCTGCCAACAGTTCTAGAATATGCCCGGGAGGCCAGCCACGAATTACACGCCCCTCAGCTCTGTGATTCCCTTCTCAGGATGGGGGATTGATATTGTGGGAGCCCTGCCGAAAGGAGCTGGGCAGGCAAGGTGGATTGTCGTGGCAATAGACTATTTCACCAAGTGGGTGGAAGCTGAGCCACTTGCTGGGATTACCGGAAGGCAGATGATCGACTTCGTCGGAACAAACATACTCTGCAGGTTTGGGGTCCCGAGGCAGATCATATCTGACAATGGAACCCAGTTTGAGGAAGCAGAGTTTCAAGACTTCCTCAAAACTTGGGGAATTCAGCATACAAAGGTGTCTGTTGCCTATCCTCAGGCTAATGGACAAGTGGAGAACGTCAACAGGACAATCATAGACGGAATAAAGAAGAAGCTACTTTCAGAAGGAAGCAAATGGGTAGATGAGCTACCCAGGATCCTATGGACATACATGACAACTCCAAGGAGAGCTACAGGTGACACTCCTTTTGTCTTAGCTTATGGTTTTGAAGCCCGGGCTCCCGCTGAGGTAGTAATCCCCACCAAGAGAGAAATGGAATATGACCCGGAGGTGAACAAACAGAATCAGGCCGCAGAGCTGAATTTTGTAGAGGAACGAAGAGATGAAGCACGGATCCGGGCAGAGAATTATCGTCGCCAGGTGAAATCTTACTTTGATAGCAAGGTGAAACCAAGGGCATTCCAGGTAGGGGATTACGTCCTGAGGAAACGAGAGAAAAGTCAACAAACTAAGGGTGGGAAGCTGGCTAAGAAGTATGAAGGACCTTATATCATCAAGGCCGTTGTTCGCCCAGGTACCTACAAGTTGGTGACTACAAAGGGGAAAGAAATTGATAGGACATGGAATGTAGAGCACTTGGTCAAATTTTATCAGTAAGAACTATTTTGTAAAAACGCTCTATTTTTAAATTTAAGATGTTTGTTTCAGTAAATTGTTCTTTACTTTCAAGCCAAGTGCCTTTGCGATTTCATTGTTCTATAGATTTCTTTCAAAACAAAAAAAAAAAGAGGGGGAGGGAGCACCCCCGGGCGATATAGACCCGCATTACAGGGAGGTAGATAAGTTTATGCCACCTGCTAAAAATAGGGGAGGTAGACAAGTTTATGCCCCCCGGAGGTAGATACGTTTATGCCTCCGTCAAAAATGAAGGAAGGGTTGGGATTGGACTTTGAGGGCCATTACAATCTGGAATTCAGGAAGAACAGCAAGCAGACTTCGAGGGCTGGAGCTTAGTATTCCACCAGCACAGATCAACCGAGCAAACAAACTTCGAGGGTTGGAGCTCAACTGATCTAAGGTAGAAAAGAGTATGCCTTAACCCGGAGGAAAGGAGGCAAGGGGCAGATGAGGTAAGTTCCCCTGGCATGTCCAAACCCTGGGAGATGAGATTTTATACAGAGAATGATTTGCATACTTGCTTTAGAAAAGGTGCAAAGAAACAATTATTAAGGACCACATTGATGGGCCAAAGTTTACATTTTTGGGTTCACAAGAAAGGTTCCTAGTAAGATAAAAAGAAAAGAAAATAAGAAAGTTCATCGATTGTTAATTTGGGGGTTGTATCTTTGAATTACAACGATAACCCCTAATCTGAGATTGAGGAACAATCCTTAGTTTGGAACGCGGGGAAAACTCCTGGACCAAACAAGTGAATGCCTCTTGATAGGAAACGAGGAAAAGAAATTTGATTTGCAGGGGCCTAGGCACAGAAGGAGGGCCTATTGCGTCCATGCAGTCAACAAGAAGGAGGTGGGGGTCCCTTCCATGGGCTCCTTCTCTTTGAGGAGGAACACGTTGTGGAATCAGCGGCCTCCCAGATGTCATAGTCTTCCCATGTCCCAGGTCGGGGAGCTGTGGCCCTCAATGAAGAACCATCGTTGGGAGACTTCAACAAGCTTGGAGAAGCAGTCCGGCTTTCACATGAAGGTTCTACCTTAACAATTGGCAGAGAACGCCCAAGTCTAGCCCTGCGCGTCCTCTGATACGAGGCGAAGTCTTGGAGGGTCATTGAGCCCCAGTCTATCCTTCCGAGTGGGAGCCTGGGTGGACTAGGAGGAGATGGTGCAGGGAGGCAAGTTGTTGGATAAAGTCTTGAGAACTCGCCGGGACTCAACCCAGCCGTGTCATTGGACTGAGCCGGAGAGGCGGACGAATCGTCAATTGAAGAAGAAGATGTCCCAGAAGGGGTTAAGCTGATGACGACTTTTCCCCGAGACTTACTTGCCATGGTGAAGAAGTCAGAAAGGGATGGACCAGCAGCTAACCATCCTTTCCCATTTATAATGAAAGGGGAAGGAAGAGTTGGGAAATGGTGAATGCGATTAAAAGGCGTGAAGGACGAAGCGATTGATGAACGAAGCGGTCGAAGATTCCCGATGTTTGACCAGGGGTTTGTCCACTTAAGTGCATGGGCCAATTAGTTGGGCCCATCTACGTTTTTGGAAAGACGTCATCCGTGGAAGGTAAGGAGTTAAATAAACTTAGGCTTCTACTTCATGCAGATGACGGCGCGTGCAACGAAATGACAGGAGATAAAGGTTTTTCCATTAAATAGCTCAAACAGAAAATTACATTCTTTTGGGTTACAGTAATGGGCCTTATCCCAGATCTAGCAACAAGACAAAAAAGAGACGGGAGATAAAGATTTTCATTAAATAACTCAAACAGAAGATTACATTCTTTTGGGTTACAATAATGAACTTTGTCCCTGATCTACTCCTATCTTACTAACTGGAAGAATCTGAAGGCAAGGCGGATCAACACTTCTAGAATTTGAAGGAGTGTATTCGCTGACCCTTGCTTCCCTGCGTGAACCAGAAAAGAACCCCAGAGTGGGGGGTGTGAAGAAAGCCCACCGTTCTCCCTTGATGACATTCAAAAGGGACGAAAGGGTACTAACGGGTTGGGATTGAAAGCCATTCCCCCGTGGGTACCATCCGGTCACTCCCATGAAGACGGACAAGGAGGACGATAAGGCATGAGGAAGGGACTCAAGGCCTATTTCCGTTTATACGGAAGGTGGAGGCGGATCCCGGAAGGTTCCGTCCTTTTCCCTGCGTATAAAAGGAAGCCTATTTTCCCCCATGTCATAGTCCCCCCACTCCTCAGATGGCTGTCCATATGACTGCTGAGGGGAGGGGGAACCCTGAGAGGAAGGCCTCGCACCAGAGATTAACCGGGAAGCTCCTGAGTGGGGATTGCGTCTCTTCTGCGGACGGGACGTGCCAAGACAGCGAGAAGAAGCTTCCGTTCTGGCACCGTTAAGAGGGGCGGTGGAACCCGGAAGAGCACCCCCTGATGCCAGTTGGGGGAGATGAGGGTGATTCTCCTCCCTGGGCAAGGGAGAAGTCACTGATTGCTCAGAAGCGAGAGAAGGCCCAGAAGAGAGTTCAGGTGTTGGGGCCCCAAGTGAGGGGAATGCCAACGAAGAAGAATCAGAAGAAGAATCGTAAATAGTAAGATCAATGAAGACAACTTTGTTGGCATTATTAGCCATGTTGAGAATTTGATTGTGATAATGAAGGGGTTCAGCCTAGTCCCTTAAATAGGCGAGTAATCCCAAAGGAGAAGTGCAAAGGACGCAGAGCCAGAGTGCTTATCCGATTGGGAGGCGGTTGTGGATTCCCGAGGAAAACTAGGGTCGCCTCATCTTATTATTGGGCTAGGGTGAACTGGGCCCAGCATAATTAAATTGGGCCAGTCACTTGGCGCAATGATAAATAAGAAAAACAGTACATTGTGAATGCAGTTAAGCCCAAAGCCTAGGCGGATAAAAAAATCGGCTAAGTCCTAGGGCGGAGCAAGAATCCCAAAAGGAGAACAATTGGCTTAATAAAAGGAGTCTGTGAGGACGGAAATACATCAAGTGTTATCAATTAACTACCATCTAAATGTTACAAAGCAAAATACAACATGCGAAAGAGAAGGATAAAGTCAAAGCCCCGGATCTGCACGAGTTGCGCCGGATGGGGAGACTGACGGCCGAAGGTGCGGTGGCGGGATGTCATTCCTCCGGTTCCTGCTGCTCTTCTTGATTCTGCTGCGTCTCAGTCTCTCTCCTCATCTCTGGAGGAACCTCGGCATCTTTTTGCTCTGCAGCTTCCTTCTCCGCCGTGGAGGGGGCGTCCGGCACTTTCTGAATTCCAATCTCCTTCTCTGTTGCAGGAGAAGACTCTGGTTCTTCCTGCCCCTCAACTTTTTCCTCCAGTTCTTGGGGAGCAGATGCAGTTTGAGGGAGGGAATTGTTTGCATCAGGCTGAGGCTGCACCGCTGATATTTTAAGTGGTGCTTGGTCTGGAAGTTCATCAGCCTCATTATCCAGGCTCTCCGGATTGGGTAGCTCTAAACCTCCGGGTGCAGCAGCAGAGGTGGTATTCTGAGTACCAGAAGAAGTTGACAGGGGGCTGGGTGAAACAGAAGTGCCATCACCCCTACGCTTCTTGGGAAGGAAATCATCATCTGTGACCCCTTCTCGTGGCCGTTTCTGGGACGGAATGGGCCTCCTCAGCCCAGGGATAGCAGAAATGGGGACAGCCTCCAGAGCAACAGTCGGCTTGCGGATAGCCAAGGCAGTGGAGTTACCTCGGGATTGATTCCCGGGAGAGCTCATGGCCGGATTTGACTCTGCAGCAGAAGGAGCCTTCGATCTCTCGGGAGAAGGCACGCCTTCAAATGGAAACGGGTCAGGACCCAGGGGGTGGTAAAAACCCGCCTTCTTGTATAGTTGGGCGTCTTGAAGGGAGGGGTGTGAAATTAAACCTTCTTTTTCTCTCAAGGCGTTATACACTCCCTCCCCTAATTCTGCTGCAGCAAATTTCGTGCGGGAAATGGAACGGCGGAGGGCAACACCTGGTAGATTAAGGGGGCTGTGAGCCGGGAACTCAATAACGAAGTATCTCAGTGACCATTTCTCATGCTTGAACTCGACTTTTTCAAAAATTGGGAAATGGTTGTGGGGATATAGGCTGTAGAAAGGGAAACCACCGATACTGAAGAGGAGAAGGAATTCATCCAACGTTGGGATTCTGTCCAGGGCGCAGCACCGCAAGATGAAAGATGCGACATACTTGTGCGCGTTGGCAGTCAATTGACCCGGAGCAAATTCGAAATGGAGGCAGAGATCGCGAAGCAGACCGTGGAGGGGCAACCTAAACCCATTTTCCACAGAATGATATTGCATGACCATATACTTCTGGGGATTTGGATTGTGGGATAGACTAATCCCCCCAACAGCATCGGGATGGTGGATCCGGAAGCCCTTGCCCAGGAGCGCGGCCACCTCTCGAAGTTCGTTCTCCTTGATGATGGAGGGTCCATGGGTCCAGGTTTCGGGGTCTGTAGGAGCCATTTTGGGAGAAGAAGCAAAGATGTGGGGAAATTGCGGTCGGAATTCGGGTCGGGTTAGATTCAGTAGCGAGAGGAAGAAGACGGGTCCAGAAGGGGTTATATCCGTTGAAAGGATGGACCCGAGGCACTCGAGTGCGACGTTTCTGATCCGACGCGAAAACCAAAGGCGGCTCATCATTAGTTTTCTAGCGACACGTCGCCAGAAAACTAGGGGGCTTGTGATGGATATCGGGTCTGATAGGCCCGACTCCAGGCCCAAATAAAGGCCCATAATAGCCCAAAAGGTGGATCAGATGGAGATGACGGGCCAAGCCCGTTATTGCGCATATGGCAAGTGGAGAAAGACGGCCCAGTCATGGTGGGAAGAGAACGAGACCGGAAAAGGGGGAATCACAACCCCATGATCTCCATAATCATTTCCACTTTGTATAATTTTAATTACAATATTAGGAATACTATAAAAGGGGGGAGAACCCGCCATTGTAAGGGAGAGACAATTGAAGACTCAAAAAAGAGAATATTATCGAGTGATTATATCTTCCTGATTCATATCTTGTTCTTGGTCCGCTATCCGATCGGGTTAATCCCATCAGTAACAATACCACGATCGATGGTTCCCATTTGCTGGATTTTGATTGTGAATCTTCATCTTGTGGCGTATCGCTCAGCGTAATTTCAAGAATTCGCCGGTGACCATTTAGGATTTTTTATATTCCGCATACTCTCCCTAGTACATCAAATCCAGATATAACATCAATGGATTTTTGCCGGAGGATAAATAAGACCACAGATTATGGGCTGTGTTTACTTTGGACCAATTTCAAATTGTTTAAGAGTTATAAAAATATTTTAATCCTACCGAAGGTATTTTTATCATACTCCGTATAAAATAAACAATATTTTTGTATATAATTTTTTTGGAAAATTTAAAATACTTTGACTTATAAAAATAGATTTTGGATATGTTAAATTATTTTTTAAAATATTAATTATTTTTAAAAATTCAAGGGCAATCTTTGTCGCATGTTAGATTGTTACTCAAGAAGTCAGTATTTAGTCATGGACAGCTTTATGTGGCAATATTATGTGTCACAAATCGCAAAAGATTAAAGATCTTGATTTGCAATGAAGTCTTTGCATCGTCAAACCAAACTACAATTGTAGTTTATAAGAAAGTTTTCCAAAACTTATACTCCCTCTGTCCTATATTGATCTTCTCACTTCCCTTTTTTTCCCGTCCTAAAATCATCTTCCCACACACTTTAAATACACATGTAATGACTAAAATACCCCTAAAAGGTTAAAACCTTTATTACTCACCCACCCCATACCCAACCCACCCCTTTATCTTCATTCTTCACCGTCCATTTCTTTTGCTCAGTTTCCGTCGACTCCCCTGCGTAGCTGTTCGTCGTCCGTCGGTTTCACAGCAGCACCGACGACCTCCGTCCCAGGGAAACAGTCGGTGACCACCATCTCCCTCTCTCTTTCCACCGGTGTGCACGGGTCAGTCGAACATGGGCAACGACGGTTCCTCCTCCTCCAACCCAAGTTTAATTCTTCCATTTCGAGGTGATTCGTTGCTCAAATATCTATCGTTAGCGTTAATTCATAGATTAGGATCTTGTTTGGATTAATCTTGCGATTGATTGTGAAATTGTGTGAATTGATTATTGGGATTATTGATTTGGATGTTGAATTGGTTGGGGGTTTTGTTGGGGTTGGATTCTCGGACGGATTCCGGTGAGTCACGGCGGCGGACCGCCAGTAGTGGCCAGGGACGGGCTGGACAGGTTCAATTTGGACCCAATTCGGTCAATTTGGGTCCAATGGTTTTTTTAAAGGGAGGGTATAATTGGAAGTCAAAGTGCAAAAATTCAATCCCTTAAAAATGAACAATAATCAAAGCGGGAAGATCAATATAGGACAGAGGGAGTAACACTTTCATCCCAAGATTATGTGGCAATATCATTTAAGTATTATTTAGAGAATTAAAAAAGTTCAAATACTATATTGGGAAATAACATATGTTTTAGTACTATTTAGAGCAAATTTCAAATTTTTCTCACACGGTTTCAAATATTAAGTGAATCTTAAATAAAATTTGTATTTGCATACCAATTTTTTTCTATTCCATATGCATTTAGACTATATCGAAGCTTTAAAAAAACAATCTTATCATGAAAGGACATGTATCTAAAACAGACCCGTTAGCAATGCTAGAAATGTAACATTAAGTAAATATGACAATGCAAGTCAACAAAATGAATCGTAGAATTCAATAATTGTTGCATTTACAAGGGGATCATACGCTCTAAAGCTATGTGAATCTAATAACATGTATCTGGGGACACAAACCTTGTAAGAGATACAACAGGTACTATATGAAGATGTTCCTTGTGTTTGAGATTGTTTGTTGCACATGAACCCAAGAAAAAGAAGAGATAAAAGTGAAAACAAATAGAGAAGCCTAAACCTGAATTGAATGGATCAACGAATCTGCCAACTATTCTTGCCTATTTTAGCTTAGGACTACTAATACCTTTGCCGGGGGGAAGGCTGAATCTCAAATCTGACAATTCTTGAATACTAAATCAAACTTTGGCCTCAGAACTCTCGGTGTTGGATGAGACATTATGATAGCAATTGTATCTACACAACAATGATATATCTTCAGTTGATAAAGATAATCCACCACAAGCCAAGTAGTGTCTATCCACACATGCCCTGCAATGCAGAGATAAAGATGAGTATGCGTGATTGCCATGTTCTATAAGAAAAGTTTGACATTTCTTAAGGGATGCGACATTTGCCTTCTTTGTCTACTCCTGCTAACACAGTCTGACAACCGGTTAGCTTCTAGTCTTGAGATGCGGCTCAAAGCTGATAGATATTCGTAAAATGCACCACCTTTCACTGAGAGGAATGACCTCAAAGGAACAGCTGATTGAAGTATATTCACAACATCTGAGCTGACCTTCCTGCATCAGGGTGAGAGAGAGGAATGCAGTAATTATTATATTCATCTATAATGCAACATTGATTAAAGGTAGAGGGAATGGAGTCGCATGATGCAACTATGTAGCTTTGCCCTGACACGAGACACCATATCTTTAAGTCTTATTATAATATACCAAACAGCATCAATAGTAGTGGTATTCGTTGCATTGTAATTCAGGGCAATTGAAATAAAGAATAAGTTCTATTTGAGATGAAGTGGCACAGGACACCATCTAAAGGGGTCAAAAGAGTCAAATACACATCTAAATTAAAGTTGTGTACTACTTTGAAAGGAAAGTGAGCGAATCAAATGGGACAACCTATAAAGGAAGAGCGGACAAATACATTGGGACAGAGCCAGTATGCAATAAGATTGCATGTCTAGTTCTATTTATAGAAACTTATAGATTTGAATCAAAACAATTGTCACAGGGCAAAAGAAGAAAGTAAGACAAGAAAGAGGAGATAGAAACAAAAGTAAAGAGATGATTGCACACTGGAAAAAGATTCCCTGTAGAGGCCTTGACAGGCATTTATTGCACAAGAAATTTATAGGAAACTACAAATGAAATTAGAAAAACTACCTTTTTAACTTTATATAAACTCCCTATATTATTAGCAGTGATTATATTCATTGCAATTTTAAACAAATATATAACTTTGACTGAAAAAGTTAGGTGTAGTAACTTGTAACTCATAAAGCATCAAAGTCAGGAGATAGAAACAAAAGAAAAGAGACGACTACACTTTTCTGCTGTCTGCAGAATGAGGGACAATGACCAGTTTTAAAAATGGAACATACTGGATTAGAAACTTGGCTTATAAATTTGATGTAAATTCCCTAATTCTTTCCTAGCAATTGACTTCGGTAGATATATCATAAACCCCAACAGGGTGTAGCCCTTGTAATTACGTTTAGGCCATTTTGTGTTATGTATTTGTATATATACATTCCCTCTGTCGAATATGATAACATAGAAATATTCTCCATACAATAATTCTGTATTACTACAGTCTACAAGTCATCATTTTAGCAGCTTTGGTCCTTTTCCCGTATGACTCATTTTAGTAGCGTTTTTCTTTTCTAGGCACAACTCCATCCCTTTGTCATTATCATCAGGTGATCTGCTTCCTCTTTTGACATACACCACCGTGTTCAGGATGATTTCATGGCTCTGCTTCAAAAGACACCACCAGCTACTGCCACACACTGATCACCACCACGGTTCCCCTCCTTGTCTGTGAAGCTTCTGATATCACTGCAGTGCCACCAACAGTCTCATATCTCTCCGGAGTATTGTGAGCACATTTAGTCTTCGAACACCACTCAAGTTGACTGCTAAGGTACTGACATTCTTCGTTGAATCGTTGTTATGCTGTTAGGATTCTAATGCTTCATCCTTTACCGCTGTTCCGGGCATCACCATAGATCAGTCAACGGGTAGTAACATCCAGTCATCTTTGGCAGCTTCCATTATGCTCTGGTTAAAAGGTCAAGGTTAGTTTATCATTTCTGCACAAGCTTATAACATCGCCACTGCCACCAAACATCTCATTTCTCTCCAGAGTAAATTGAGCACATTTAGTCAAACACCACTGAAGTTAATTGCTAGCATACTGATTTTTCCTTGGTCTTTTTATGTTGTTATGGTTCTACTGCTTCAACCTTTAGCGCTTTTCTGTCCATCACCAAAGATCAGTTAACCAGTAGTAACGTCCACTCATCTGTACCTTCTGCATTCAAGACCAAAATGCCCAAAAGATCTTCCACTTTCTCGAATGTACGATGGAGTAAAGACAACAATAAGAGAACTCTTGGGTGACCTGTAGAAGAAGCAAAGGGCAAGATTTCCCAAGTTTTTTCTTGAAGTGGGTGTTCCAGGATGGTTTTTTATTTGGGGTAGGGTTTTCATCTGGGAAGACTTCCAATTTTAGAGATGAATGATGTCTAGAGTACGGTTTTGATTTAGGGAAGAGTTCCAAATTCAGAGGTAGCTTCCAGTGGGCCTGGTAATGGTTTTAAAAGGCATTTACGAGGTAGTGAGGCCGTCCCTTTAGGCCTCGGAGGCTTAAGCTGTTATAGTGAAGAGAATTCTGGTTTCCCTCTCAATGAAGAAGATGATCCGGAGAACAGAGTTTGGGGACTGAGAGAAAAGAGAGAGAAAGAGTTTAGGAGGAATGTGTTGTACTCTAATGACGTATCTTCCAGTATTACAGCTTTGTGTTTATACACAGAAATCCAAGTAACTCAAACAACAACCCAGTTGGATCCCACGAGTGTAGGGTCGGGAGTGGGTGGGTGTTTCTGCAAACCTTACCCGTACTCGAAAGTAGGAAGTCTGTTTCCAAGAGACCCTCAGCTGAGGTACCACAGGTAGCACAAAAACACAGAAGACACATAACAAGTGAAAACTTCCACCAAGTCCAAAACGCCTACCAGACTACCCTAATCCTAGCTCTCCAAATGTTCCTATTTAAGGTCATATCTTCAGTAAGGGCTAGAAGTCCAAGAAATCCAAGTAACTAACACCCAAATATCAGCTAACTAATCTAACGATTAGTATCTCCACATCAGCAAACTGTAACCTAAGCCTCAGTAGTGATATATGAGGCGTATGTGGCATAGTTGTTAATGGAGCCTATGGCTTTGTGGCGACCAGGTGACGCCATTCTCAGACCTGGCGTGGCGTTTTACGCCATTCTCGCCTATGGCGGTCGCCATGGACGCCATACTCTGTGGCAAAAGGCGTTCGCCATCTACGCCAGACGCAGGTCAAGGGTTTTTAATTGAAAACCTTGACTTTTTTTTAAACGCGCTGACCTACCTCTGCGTCTCGCCGATCGAATAACTTCTACTTTAAGATCGATTCAACTGCCTGCCTCTGCCTCTCGCCGATCGAATTTCTCCTCAGCCGGTTCAGCCTCCTGCCCTCCTCAACTTCTCCTCAGCCGGCGCAGCCCTTCCTTTCTCTCCCGAGTCCAAACAGCGCGCTTCTTCGCAGAGTCAGAGCCAGCGCAAGCAAAGTCCAGACTCCAGTTCGCAGGTCAGATTTTTTCTTTTTGTTTCTTTTTTTTTTGAATGCTTATTGTTTCTTTAGACTTAAACAATATATATATATATATATATATATATATATATATATATATATATATATATATATATATACACATATTATTTATTTATTTATATAATGTTCGCGATTTGACCGCCCGCCGCTCGCCACGCTTCTCGCCATAAAAAAGGACCTCTCACCCGCCACTCACCATTCACAACTATGGTATGTGGTATGCCCCAAAATGCTGAGGTGGTCCGAGGCAGTCTTTCAAATTTTAATTTCTCTGTTTGCTTTTTTCCAGCATCACTCTCCCTCTTCGTCTTTGATTTTTATATACTTTCTCCCAAAATGGGCTTAACCTAAAATTCCATCTATATTTGTAATTGAGATTTATATGTATTAGTCTAAAATAACTTAATATCCAGTTATTCTCATGTTTTCTCCAGTTTTTAAATTCTATATTAGCTGAAACGTTTCCGGTTTTTGTATTAGCTAAAATTTCTTGTGTCATTTAATCTAGGTCAAAGAATGATATAACTTTACTTTTGCGTGAAATTTCATCCACATTTAAAAGCGACTTGGTGTACATGAAATGCCATAATTGTACAAAAAAATCACAGTTCACAGGCGATGCGAGTAGATTAAAAGACTATCTTGCACGAACTCGTAATTATTATCATTGCAAGATTTATTGATTTTTAACTTATTTGACATGATTATAGATTATGCATTTTGTTTTACCTCAGATTCTTTATTTTAGTATTATTTTTTTGTTAATTGAATTGAGGCTTATGCATCAAGGCATTTTGCTCCAACGCCTCGAGGCTAGTTTTCACCTTTCAAAACAGTGGGCCTGGTGTTGGTTGAAAGAAACTAAGGCCGTGCGGCAGTGAATTGAAGTCGTCTGTTGGCCAAAACTAGCTGCTCCCTAGGCTTGGGGAAGGACCACTAGCATCGTTGATTCGTTGAGGACGATGAACTGACGATATGCCCATGGGCTAGAAAAGTAATTTGAGTTCATAAGTATTCAAACAAATTTTTAAAAATATTACCCAGGACACACTACCCAACATTGGAGACCTTCATTGACATTCATAGTAAAACTATCTCGACCTCATGTCAAATTATGCCCAACCCCCCCCTGTTGGGTTCATAATTATCCAAACATTTTTTTAAAAATATTAGCTAGGACACACTACCCAACGTTGGAGATCTCCGTTGACATTCATAGTGAAACTATCTCGACCTCATGTCAAACAATGCACAAGTGCCCCCCCCCCCACCGAACCCTGAAACCAGTACTGGTTCTTGTCACTGATTCTCAACTCTACTATCCGCTATGTGGTTGCCCGCAACTGTGACACCGCCTCAAAAAACACTGCTGTTGTTTCCAATGACCCTGTTGTTGCTGCCCTACATTCTGCTACCTCTACCACTTTCATAGCTCGTGCCTGCACTAATAGAAGATCTGCCTCCATCTATGACTTGAAACAGCCCCATCTTACGTGGTCCTACTCAGAACACATAAAGTGCTGGAAGACACAACCATCACGGTTCTGCCAAATTAATTTTGATGCTCTGGCATGATTGGCGGCGGAGTGCTAAGGCCCTAGTGCGGAGATGTGAGAGGCATACAATGGTGGGTGGGAGTAGGGGAAGGGGTAAACTTATGAAGAATTGGGAGGTTATTAGACCGGACATAAAACTACGTGCCATCCGTACCCTTAGGATTAGGGTAGTTGGGTACAGATTTTGGGCGTGGTGGCAGTTTTCGCACTTGGGTGCTTTTTATGCTTGGTGCTTTTTGCTTGCTATGCTTTTCCTTCATTAATATTAGTTTGTTCTTTGCTTTTTTCTGCTTTTTGCTTTCTCCTCTTCATGTGTCCTCTGTGAGCTGTGCTATCCATGTTACTTAAGCCATGGTCTCATGGAAACAGCCTCCCTGCTTTTGAGTAGGGTAAGATCTATATACACACACCGCCCCAAACCCTACTCTTGTGGGATTCAACTAGGTTGGATTGTGGTGCTCTGGCATGATTGGGCTGAGCAATTGTGTTCTTTGCTGGAAAACCCTAGATTATGTTGGTGAAGTTCTATTTGTTGGGGTGCAACAAAGTAAGTATTTCTGAGGAGCCAAAGTGGAAGAAGCATGAGCTTGTCTAAAAGCACTACATTTTGCTCAGGAGCGAGGTTTGTATAGGAGCATTCAACAAGGGAGGTTGCATGTCTGTTATCACTTATTACTAGCATTAGGAAGACATCTTTGCCTAGTAATACTCTGGGTCTTTTTTTGTGAAATTCCTAAGCTGGAGTCTTGATTGATTTCAATGCTTGGGCTCATGTGAATGAGAAGTAATGTTGTTGTCTGTGAGTTAGCCCATTTCAAAGTTCAAACAAATCTAGGTCTCTACAAGAACATGATTGGAGGGTAAACCAGATTGCATAATCAATTTGGCTAATAATTTATATAAAGTTTTTCCAACCCCCCCCCCCCATATCCAAAAAGGACCTTAGAGAAATAAATTAAATATCATAACAGAAGCACGTAGCAATACTCGGGGTCTTTTTTTTGTGAAATTCCTAAGTTGGAGTCTTGATTGATTTCAATGCTTGGGCTCACGTGAATGAGATGTAATGTTGTTGTCCGTGAGTTAGCCCATTTCAAACAAATCTAGGTCTCTACAAGGACATGATTGGAGGGTAAACCAGATTGCATAATCAATTTGGCTAATACTATATAAAAAGTTTTTCCAACCCCCCCCCCCCCAAATCCAGATAGAACCTGAGAGAAATAAATTAAATATCATAACAGAAGCACGTAGCAGCATGCATAGGGTCATAGGGTGATTATTTTAAGATATGGGTTGCTAAAGAAAAAAAATAAACAAATAGAAACTCTACTCAAGACAAAAACAGTGTTTATATATGTTACTCCGTACATACTAATAAGATGCAGAAGATAGGTCATAAAATCATACGGAGTAATAGTATACCTTTTGGAATAGCTGCTTTTGAGTGGTCTTACTTCTGTGGTTCTGGTTTCTCTTCTGCCAAGACCAACCAGCTTCCCTAGAGACATTGTGCTATCAGAAGATGCCAACATCTCTGATGCTAAATCCAACTTATTTACAGACACATTATCCAATTCCAAATTGGCAACTTCTTTAGCTAAGAGGCATATCCCATGTTGAGCAACAATAGATGACATCTGCAGCTGGTCATCATGCCAGCTATATGACTGTAAACTATCGCATGGTATCATTGAAGAATCCAAAGAATCCTGAAGGATTGTTGATAAACCATCAGGAGGTGCGCAACACGAAATAAAGTACATGTAATTAAAGCTAATATGACACTGACACTTACACATATAAGCTGCTGGCAGTCATTAGACAATAAATCAGCTTCCGAAATTAAATTGCTCAATCTATAACAAATATTAAGAGCCTCGGAAGTGTCTTTCTGATCTGAGGTAGCATACTGTTTTAGGTTCATGTACCCGTTACGAAGTTTTTTCCATGTTTCTTGTACAGAATTGATTGATAGATAATGCTTGTCATGTGCAACGGCTAGAGATCTCCAATTGAAGTCAATACGGCTACACTCATCCAGTGGCTGATATGCTCCGGAAGAATCTTCCACACATTGTGCAATATATTGAGCAGCTTCACCACCACAAACAGATATTGAGTTAATATCAGAACTACAACCCAGTAGTTCAAGATTGTTACATGTTTCAAGAACAGTATCATCGTGTTTGTCATACTCATGATGCATACAACTTGGTAGCAAACCGTTCGCTGAATCTGCTTCAACTTTACAGCTAACATTAATATAAGAATCTGTTCCAGATGTTAGTTTTGAGTCAATACTAAACTTGGATTCCGGAACAAATGATGACTCTGGAACACAAGAGAAATCACATGATGCGTTCATTGCATTTGGATGAAATGAACCGTCTGCCTTAGAACACTTCCTTTTCAATCTTTTTCGTTTACAAAGCAGGGGCTTACTCAAAATACTGCAGCACACCTCAGTAGATGACACATCAGGTGGAGAATTGAACATCATTTCATTTGCCTCTTCGCAATTATCACATGGGACTTCATTTAAGTCTACTGTTTTTCTGCTGCTGAAACACTCCTCATCAGAATCGGAAACCATTACTGCATCAAGTTTCCTCCGTGAATTTCTTCGACAGAAAGCAACTGGGGATCCAGAGTAATTTGAAAGCTCAGAGTTACTATCAAGCTTGGGTGTGTGTACATTTTTATCTGGTGGCAAACCATGCAAACTTAGCATTGCTTCCTTTTTGGAAATTATACCGTTTGGATCTTCAAACTCTTTAAAAATATTCTGGATGCTATTGCCATTCAACTTCTCTTCTTCAACTGTATCACCCAAACCAAAGCTGTCTTCTGCCATTCTCATAGATTTAGTTATCTCCTCATCAACAAGTGCAGAGAGTGGGCTAGGGAAGCTCGAATGAATTATTTTTGGCAGCATCAGATGCCCAGCATCTATATCAAATAAAAGTGGCCTATATGTCCTGAGTTTATTACCTGGAAATAACATGATAGAATATGGTAACTAATTGATGAAACAAATTTTTGAGCTGAACCAGATGCCACCTTCATCTACGAAGGGGAGATCATATAGCTTTGAACATAAAGTACAAAACTCATATAGCAAAGGACACATGTTCATATGACTTATACATTAAATGAATGGGCCAGGTCATATAAAGGGATGGAGGAAGTGGCTAGCCAAATGGGCAAGATAAGAACAACCAAAAGAGATGAGAAGATTATGACGTGGTGCAATTGTTGTCCTAGTCTTTATTTGATGTATTTTAATTCTCATTCTGAATTCCCATATAATATCCACAATTTGGAAGAGATTTCCTTCCAAATCTTTGTGATTTAGAGCTTATTTTCTTCAACTTATTTTTATTACAACAACAACCGAGTTGGACCCCACGAGAGTAGGGTATGGGGAGGGGGAGGGTGTGCATACGCAGACCTTGCCCTGCTTGAAAGTTGGGAGGCTGTTTCCAAGTGACCCTTAGCTCAAGTAGTACATACAATTTAAGAACACAGAAGACACGTAAAAGCAGAGAACGCACAGAGCATACAAAGCACACAAAGTACACAACAAAGCATAAAAAGCACACAAGAACAAGTGAAGAAACCATCACCTAGTCCAAAACGCCTACCTAACTTATCCTTATTACTTATTGCTTATTCTTATTGGAATCAGATCCAAATCAAGTCCAGATCCAGATCCAGCTTTAAATATAACTACAATAAATTCAGATCTCGCCTTAATAAAGCCAGAGGAGATCCAATCAGATTAGACAAAGAGAACAAGCTCTTAGTAGGTAATTAAGGGTAGTTAATATACCCATTGTAATAATGTAATGGTTTGAACGATATTATGATGATCAAGTTTGAATGCAAAATTCCATTTCAAGGACTTGTGTATTTTGAAGTACTAGCAAGTGATTTGCTATACCTTTCCTAATTTTATCTCTTTGTTTGCCAACATAGAGTGTGTATTAGGATTTAGGAGTCTACTTTTATATCTCAGTATTGAAGTATAAAGTAGATACTCGATAAAAGTCCTAAAAAAATATGTGTGTCATATCTCTTAATATCAACTTAGCCTATTAGAGTCATAAGTGAATACATAACATTTAGCTCCAAGCCCGACCTCACATACAACATTTGGTATCAAAGCCAGCATGAAAGCATCCTATATAACAATTGCAAAAATTGCAAATGCAACGGTTTAGAACAGTTTCAATAAGCTGAAATAAAACACCCTTTCCTAACAGAAATCTAACTCTACTCAATTTCTAGTTGCATGAAGCATTTTGTCCACAGGAAGAGAATATTCTTTACAAGGACCATAGGGAGTCAATAAATTCACAGTGTTGATGATGTTAAGCAAATGAATAAACCACTTTGAAGTTCACATTCAACGGCTATCAAAAGATCAAATAAATGTGTTATTTTCCAACATATCTATGTCTCAAAAAAAGTGTTGAATTTGAAGAAAATATGTATCTCTTCACTATATCCAATGTTTTTGAGTAACAAAATGCCAAACAAGTTAAATATGTTTTTTAGTTAAACCAAAAGAAATTAAAAAGATAGTTATATATCATAATTTTTACTAGTTGTACACTTGTACATTACTAAAATATAAAATTCGTACATTTATGAAATAAGGTTCTTTTTATGGGACTGAGGGAGTACCATTATCACTCCAAAGATTAGGACATTATAGCAATTACCATTCTGAAAGATTAGACCTTGACACCAGAACTGTAGCAGCATGATAGTTTTGCGAATATCCCCTTCACAGTGACTGACAAATCGCTCTACCAATGAAGTGTCAATTTCAGCTTGCTCTGCAGTACAGATCTACAATACTACTACGTATTTATTAAGAACAACCAGCTGGAAACAAAAACCCTATATATTTGATTAATTTAGTCAAGAAAGTCTACCGTGTGTGCAAGTTCAAGAACGTCATTCAAAGGTGGAATTGCAAAGCACAGCTCTAGCCTGTCCAAATTGTTTGGAAGCACAGGATTGACACCTAGGTAATGGATCAAAGTGATTAATGAACTTTTGAAAGATTAGCCCCGTCACGAATAAAGTTAAACCAGATAAATTATCTTACTGTTGCTAGTTAGAATCATTGGTCGTTTAGCAGTTTCTGAGAGTTGCTGAATGGTAGATATAAAACCACGGTCTTCACAGAGAGCCGCATCAACATCCTCAAAAAGAACTAAAGTTCTAAGGTCACCATGGCAATCAGTTCTGTGCTTATAAATTGGATTTCTAGGCATTGCACTGGTAAATTGAGAATCTTCATCAGTGAACAACGGCATCAGCTCAATAACTTCACTCCTAGACCCTTCAGTCCCAGTCTTAGCAGCAGAACACGGCATCACTAGATGCTGGTCCTCTGGATTTGGTGTGCCTTGTGTACTGGGATGGGAAAAAAAGTTAAAAATGGCAGCATAATAAACTTGGGGGAACTCATCTTGACATTGTGGCTGCATCTCCCTTGGGATGTCATTGCAACAACAATCAACCCAGTATATTCCTTTCAGATGTTTTTAATTGGGGAAAATATATTTAATATTATCATATAAAAACACACAAAAAATTGCTGCTTGGTACCCCAGTTTTGTCATAAGAACTCCCGGGTCTCATTATTTTTCAAAATATACTCCGTCCATCCCTCGGTCATACCTAATTACACCGTCGTCGTCATCATCATTATCTTCTTCTTCTTCTTCCTCTTCATCCTTCTTCTTCCTCTTCCTTCTTCTTCCCCACCTTAAGAAAAGTGTTCTATGTTGAGCCGCACCCATCCCTTGCCGAGCTCCATCCTCACAATTTGAAGTTAACGCCAAGATTGATGTCCCTGGAACTGGTCGCCTCAGCCCTCACCAACCTCCATCTCACAATTGAAGACAACACCCGGATTGAAGTCGCTGGAGCTGGTCGCCTTCGTCCAGCCATCACCGTCTAGAGCAAAGATGTCCTGCATCCCCGTTCGCAATAAACAGGCCACATCAAACACGCCCTCCATCTTCGTTGGCCGTCCATCTCCATTCATCTGCTGATCATCTACAATAGGACTCTACATTACAAAATAATCATCAACACCCACAGAAAACAAGCCCTCCATGGGGGCGACGTAGTTCTCCGTCAACGAGAAGTTGACTCTGGCAATGTGTGGTACCATGGTCGCCGGAGCTCTAAAGGAAGAAGATCATGATGATGAAGATGACAGAGGGATGGACGGAAAGTCCCTCCTGGGTGAATTATCGGATATTTTTAAGCTACCCAGGAGTATATTTTGAAAAACAATGGGACCTGGGAGTTCTAACCACAAAACTTCGGGTACCCAGTAGTACTTTTTTGTAAAAACACTTGGGAAGTTATAAACTTTTGACTCTTAAAGCAAGCAAAACATTGAGATACGGGTTATAAGCTGAAATTTAATACAACAACAAGCCCAGTATAATCCCAACTTAGTAGGAGTCTAAAGGTGAAGCTAAAATTCAATGGCACATTAAAAATGTGTAGAAATATGATCATAATCACTGCAAATGAAATTTTAAAACTTGACCATTCATTAGTCATAAGTTGACAGGACCTAGACCGAAATGTAGAAATGTGATCAAACACCATGAATAACAATATGAAGTTCTCATTTTAAATATCTGGCGTGCGAAGTCTTTTCGCCTTTGGCAAGGTTGGACAGCTTTAGACATGTGTCGGCTAGGGATGCAGTAGTACAATAGCAATCATATACAAGTAAAACTGCAAGACGTGCAATTTAGCTTGACATTCCAATAGCATAAGATGGAAATGATTTCTTTCTGCTGATTATTGCATGAATTATGCTATCTCAACAAAAGAATTGTTTTCTCTCTCTTCCAATTGAACTAAAAATTTTATTGTCAGCATCATAGTCAGGTTTTGAGAGAATAAATTGAAATTCTTAGCGTGTGAAGAGCATCTTGAACAATATTGAAATTGAAAAAAGTCAACGGTCTTTTTTGTGCACCCATTCCTTTTCTTCACTAGGGGGAATGGAATGCCCACAGCTCCATCTTTAGTTTATTTTCTTGACAGGAGAAACTTCCCATGCTTTTCAAGCTTGTGTTAATTTCTTGTATACCTAGTTCTTTTTTTGACTCTGTGATATGGATGGCACCATTTTGGTGCCTATTAATGAAACTGTTGCTTTAAAAATGCACCTTGATTTTCCAATGATAAATAGAAAATCCATTAATTGTCACGCTTCATGTAATTGCTAGGTTTGTATGAAGGAAATTCCATTCTATCAACTTTGTGTTAATTTCTTGTATAGAGCTCTACTCAACTTTGATTCCACACTATGGATGAATGTGGCATCATATTGGTGCATACCAATGACATTGTTACTTCAATTTTAAAAAATAGATGCATCTTGAATTTCCAATTATAAGCCCAAAATCTATGAATCATCACAATTTATGTATTTACCTGATCAGTCAAATAAGTGTGCTGAACTTGAAATGAATTTATTAATTGAGTTATTATCATGCTAAAATGTAAATACACACACACACAGTCACACACGCGCGCGCGCACATGAAAGAGTATTCAATGAGAATGACACCATGGACGAGTACTATTTTAACTTAAAATTAAATACTTGCATATTTTAGTGCAGCAAAAATGGTCATTAACCATTTCTGTTGAATGTTTTCTTAAGACTCAATAACAATGGATTGATACTCATTTGTGGTAGTAATGGTACTCATGAAAACCTTGTGTACCGGTTCCACTATAGAAGCTATCTGATTGGTATAAGTCTAGGAAGGCAGAGACTGGGCATCATATCTAGACTTACCGTTGGATCCAATGGGACTCCACAGCCTCCCCAAACCTCTTCTTAACAAGAGCCCCATTTCGCCAATCAGATGAATTGACCTGAGAATAAAGCAGATTGGAAATGAACTTTCCTGTTTGTTATGCTAAAATCCCCAAAAAAAACTATAGTTGACAACAGGGTGGATTAAAATGTACAAGTTGTTCCTTGAATACACTATCTGACTGCATATACAGCCAAATAAGGAGAGAAATTAACCATGCTATATAACTATGATGTACTGTGTTGATTGCACTTAATGTAAATGTCCAGAACAATATATGGTTTGCGTAATGACACGGGATATTCAACCACTTGTTTAGCAGTACCTCAATGACTTGGAAACCCTGCTCTTTTGCACATGCATAGATGGCAGCAGACTTCCCGCACTGCAGTGAGAAAATGTGTTATTTACCAGTCACCATAATGAAATTCTGCCATCAATATTTGAGGAGATAAAACAAGCCTAAATTGATATTTGTGATAACTGTTAAACTAAAAAATTTCAAAGCAAAAAAAAAGGATAAAGGGTTAACATGTATTGAAACAAGTACAATCAGAGAATTACAACAAAAACATGCAAGTATCTAATTGAAACGAAACACATCACATACCCCAACTGGTCCCGTAATTAACAGAACATTTTGAAGATGATTTTCTATGTCATCATCTGAATCACAGTCACTAACGTAAATATTGTCACGAGCTTCTACATCCACAAATGTATCACTCCATGTGATATCCTTATTTTTTTGAGAAACTTTTTCGAGCCATGAATGCAGCCAATCGCTCAAGATTTTCACGGATGCACCATTACCACATACCTAGAGAAAAATTACTCGAAACCTTTAGTTCGTACGAACAAACCAATAGCTAAGAGGTCCTAGATTAAGTAAATCTAGGTTCTCAAACAAATGCAGACGGTGACACTAATAACAGCAATAACTATTTATCAGCTGTTTCACCTGCACGGCCTTCTCGGGCTGGTATTTATTTGTCCATAGAAAATTTTCAGGATGGCTGCATAGTACTTGACTTTGTCGCATCATCCTAGCAATTCAAAAATCAGAGTACAGACTTCAAATATGGTTGTGCTGAATAGCAGTCATACATTTATGTTGGGAACAATGAAGAAAACTTCCCAAATCAACCAAAAAAAAAAGAAAGAAAACTTCTACTATCTATGATTTGGATACAGGCATACAGCAGATTCAAACTGAAAATTACTGAATTCAAATGGTCATAAGAGATAAAGAGGGTTGATAGAAATAACAACCATTTGTTGCATGATAAATCGATAATCTAGGAAAAGATGATAATTCAACTTAAACTATTGATTTACTTTACTCTCTCCTTCATCCCAAAAAGAAACTACTCTGTATAAAATATATTGACTAAAACAATCATTTATATGGCTTGCTTGGGCCAGTTTATTTTGGGCTTATCTGCTAAGGACTTATCAGTTTAGTTGGTTTTTTAACTCTGAAAGATTCAGGCGTATCCCCTAATATGTAATGCAGAAAATACAATTTGCTATTGCGTTCAAATAGTTTCATAAAAACCTAGATGAATTCAGTAAAAAAGGCCTTCATTCTAGCAATATACTCCCTCCGTCCAGGTTTAATTTGGACAGTTGACTTCAAGTACTTTTAGAAAAGTGTTGAAAAGTAAAAAGTAAGCGGTTGAAATTTCGGTAAAAGAAAGAGAAGAAATGTGGACCACATATACTTTATTTTTGGGACAGCCCAAAAAGGAAAGAGTATCGATTAATTCGGGGGGGAGGGGGGGTAGAATGAATATGGCAGAGTCCCAAGGTAAGTAAAAAGGGAACTCATGAGCTTTGTGTCTCTGAAAAATTACATGTTCAATTCAAGGAGCATCCTGAATGTGCATGTAGGGAGAAGTGAACTCACCCTCCTCCAAGAAATCTATCATGTTTCTCAGTGTCAGGGCTCAAACGGCTGGAAATATTCAGGAAAGAGCTGTGTGTTCCATTTTCATTATCCTGTTAACACAAAGGTCAGAACCTCAAAGGAAAACACATGAGTTGAAATCATTAAACCACACCAGTAACTCATCAGCGCATGCAACCTCTGAATTCTTTAAACACTCCTGCAGGATTGTTCCTTCAGCCAAATGGGTGGGAGATGTTAGATGCAACAAATGTGGCTCCCCAGTAAAATCAATAAAACAAGATTCCTTCTCGGAAGCAGAATGCAGATCAACACTAATACCGTATTGGTATAGTAATGGTCTATATGCATTAGACGGGCAATGAAATGTATCAAATTCGAGAGAACTAACAAATCCTTCATACAGTGGTGAGCATGAGCTAACAAATCCTACACAAAATGGTGAGCGTCCATGTTCTAGAATGTAACTGCGATTTAGGATACATTTTTCAGAAAATGTCCAATGCTGCCAATCAACAGTGATATCATCTTCCTGCAAGATTTTGGCAACAATGAAAAAGGACATTAAACAAAAAAACACATGAACCGCCACTTGACTGCCAAAATGCCATAAGGTCAAATAACAACCCAGTTGAATCCCACAAGAGTAGGGTCTAGGAAGGGTGTGTGTACGCAGACCTTACCCCTACTCAAAAACCAAAAGGTCAAATAATGAAACACAACACTATACCTCTACTATATCCAGCACATGAATGGGGGCAAGGGTGAGATTTTTTCCCTCTTTATCAGGAGAGCACCAGGTTCTCTCCATATTGATGGCCTCACTCTTTTGCTTAGACATTTTCCATGATGAAAAAAATGGATGTATTTCTTTTCCAGCATATATACGTGAGTTTTCCTGAAGGGATACAAAGAAGCAGGGGATTCAGTGAAAAGACAACATTTTAAGGAAAATGGTGTACTTCCAATAAAAGCACTTGTTTCAAGACATATATACAAATAATAAAGCAATCGCCTAATGAGAAATTTCAGTTTTTCACAGAAACTAAGGCAAGGGTAATATAATAGGCTCTTGGGCATCAAATGCCAAAGAAAATAAATCAACACGCATAGCTTCAAAGTATAGAAATTTAAATTGAGATAATTTAATTAAGCAAAAAATTACATGAAACTCACATGAAACTAAAAATTACACACTCTATTGTATTCCTTAAACAAAAATTGGACTCTTTTAAGAACAAGGAAAATTTGAGGAATAGCTTTGACTAACCTCAGCTGTTTTTTGAGCTTCCATCCGTAGATTAGGAATCACACTGGGTGATAATTCATCCTCCATGAGGCTACATGATGCTGGCATAATGCATCCTTCCATTAATCCATTTTTTATTCCTCTTTTCTTTGGAGTACTTTTCTGACATTTTTCTGCACTATTAACGGGTTTCTCTGGTGTAGCATAATGCTTTTCTGCACGATTCTGTGCTTTCTCTGGTGTAGAGTTACCTCGATGTTTCCTCTTTCTTGGAGTAGTCATATCTTCAGAACAATATAGAGTTTGCAGGCAGTGACGCTAGTTAGAGCCTTAAAGGCTAAAGCAACACATAAAAATGGATACTAAATTTTATTTTCTTAGCAAAAGATAAGACTATTTGATACATAAAGGTCTACAATAACAACAACAACCCAGTTGAATCCCACAAAAGTAGGGTCTGGGGAGGGGGTGTGTACGCAGACCTTACCCGTACTTTAAAGTAGAGAGGCTGTTTCCAATGATACATAAAGGTCTGACTATTTAAAAATTTCAAAGATATATAGGACAGCCTGACTTTCACAACAAGTTGAACCCTACTTCCATCGTATTTCCAGATATACTTTTTATGGAGCAACTCACCATAACTAGAAGTTCTAAAGAACTGTAGAAAAAATTAAAAAGAAACACAATATTGTGTACAGAAAATTGGTTTTAACAAACTACATAAAGTCTACCTGCAGCACTCTTTATTATTCATTAAATCAGCCGGTAGAGCAGAAAGCAGAAAATATGCCAACATTCAGTCTAAAATCAGCCGGTAGAGCAGAGAGCAGAAACAAACTACATAAAGTCTACCTACTAGTATAGCCATATTGTATAATACTTTTCTCTGTGTAAACAAAACATCACTCTTCAAAATATGCCAACATTCGGTCTAAAATGAAACATTCTGGAGTGGGTAACAGTGGAAACCGCAAATGTTATGTAGCCATGAAAATGGGTGGCAGAATGTAAAACTAATCAATTATGATTCATATACTTGTATATAACTTTCAAACTCCAACCAATCAAAAAAATTACCAAATAAAAAATATTAATGGTTCAACAAATAACTACAGTCATGCCTTAATGATTATAAAAATCTATCAAAAATAGGTCAAATAAGAGAACATACTGCCAGCTAACTCAGCAGGGGAAGAAGTTTTTCCATCCTCTTCAGCTGAACCAAGGCCTAATTGTTGGGTTTGTTGTCTCTTCTGATGTCTTTTCTCTGAAACCTTTACAAAGAAATCAGACTCTGCAGGAATGTCAAAATAGAATATAAAGTAATTAGATCTAGCCATTTTGCCATTCCAGTATTCATAGTGTTATAGGCCAAATAAGTATGTAACACTAAATAGGTGTACTAAAAATTATTATTATTATTGTTATCATCATCATCCTCATCCCCATCATCATCATTGAATTGAGGGATTAGCTTACTAATAGGACACTTCTTTTCTTGACGTTTATTGGCCATGTGCAGCAGGCTGCAAGGAAAATAAGAAAAGTCAAATGCATAAATCTACCTTGGGAACTAATTAAGAACAATCAGAGTTTAATAACTTGTACATGTTGTGTTTTTATTTTTTTAAGAATGATTTATAGTACATCATCTCCGATGGTACCAAAGATTCACTTTTTTTGGGCTTTGGGTATGATAGAATAAAGCAAAGTTGACTCTTTCAAATGTCGGGAAACAACCACTCTATGTCTTAAACATGGATATCACGATGCGTACATTCGACCCCCTCCCCTACCACGCAACGGGCGGGAGCCTTTAAGGCACTGGGGTAAGGTTGTTGTTGTTGATTTATAGTACAAAAGAGAGATTTCCTAAGGACATCAGTAAATGATGTCATGCCTTCTAGATGAAACTGATGTCAAGCCTAACTTTACAAAGTTTAAGAGCTATTGCTTTCTAATTCCCCACAAGTTTTGGATGTATAAATCATATGCACAAGCTTTCTAACCTCTGAGAGATTTTGTAAGAAATGTTAAATGTCAAAGAGTTGATCGGTGTTGACATTGGTCATGTTCTCTGCAAGTGATTCTTATTACTTATGAAGTATTACTTATTCTTATCGGAATTCTTATCGGAATCAGATCACTCTGATCAGAAACAATTTAAAGTTTAACTAGAATCAGGCTAAGGCCAGATCAGACCTTAATAAAATCATATCAGATCACCAGAAGAGACGAAAAGAACAACTTCATGGTCACTAGCAATATGTCCTGATGAAACAAAATTGCAATCAACCAAAATGTGCTTAGTCTTTTCCATAGTTGCCACGGCGCATTGCGCCAATCCCAAGGAGGCAGTTTGACGCGACAATAGCAATTGCTCAATCATGGCGTTGCCACATGGCACAAAAATAAAGAATCTATAAAAATGAAATTTAGACAAAATAGGCATTTGATTCAACCACCAAAAAATAAATAAACGAGTTAAATAACCTATTTTTTACCAAATTGTACAACCAAACAAGTTCAAAACTTCAAAGAGTACTAATAAATACTCCCTAGGTAAGTAATTGAATAAAAAAGTTAAGTTCTTCCATAAACTTTAACAACATATAAAAAAAGTTGTCTCTTGTAATGATAATGACGTCATAAAAATATAATACATGGCAAATGCACTTGTTTGAGTTGTCTCTTGTAGAATGTTGATTAGAAAAAGGATAACAAACAAGGCTCCTAGCCATGCCATGTGCCAAATTCACTTATAGCTACATAAAGAGATAGCAATCACCAAGAGGCATCACTTACACACGAGAGAATTCTACATGCATACGACCATAAGCAGTATTCTTTCTAAAACATTTGGTAATGAAATATTAATTGCACCAAATAAGAGGGTAATGCACACCTCGACACTATATGGTTTAGAGATATATCCCTCGAACTAATCCTTTATTTATTAAAGACACCCAAACTCCCCTGGCAAGATTTGGAACTCACCTCACCAAAAACACTCAATGTCACTAGAAACAAGTTTCATCAGCCAAAGAGAACCATGTTGAAATATGATAAAGCTTTAGCAAATAAAATAAAGGAACTCTTTATGAAATTCATGAATTCAGAGGCTTCATCAAATTCTTTTAAAGCTTTAGCAAATAGGAAAATTCAGGTGCCTTAGCAAATTCAAAATAAAACAAAGGAGATTTTAGAAAATTGAGCAATTCAAAATCCAGGATCTTTATCCATTTTTTTTTGAAAGATAACAAAGGATATTTTAGAAGATTTAAAATCAATCGTGCTTATTATATATATAACTCCCCTAATTTATTAATCTTTTAACCCAAAATCTAACCTTTATCCCCAGCTGAAGTCCGATGGCCGCTGCTTAAAGGAGTCAAAATTTAACCTTTATTCCCACTACGTCGTCGGCTTGTCGCCGAAGGCTGGATTCCAGAAGATGGGTGCCTGTGACAGTTGCGAGTCGCCACACGAAGGGAGCTGAGATTGTGGGATGCAATTGTCCTTCCGGTACAAAGAAAATACTCCGCCCTGGTTTTGACTGGGGTCCCAGTCAATTTTGTTATTTTTCTTTCAAGTAAAATTTGTAGTAAATAGGACTAAAAAATAATGACTTTCTTAATGTATGACTTAAACTTTTTTATTTCCTAAATAGAAATAATGTCCAGATGAACATTTACTTGAATAATGACTACTTGATAATGACCAAAAGTCCTACATTGAGAAAATAAAAACATATGGTCCTATATTGGGAAAGTCATTATGTTTTAGTCATATTTAGATAAATTTCTCTTCTTTCAATGCTTTGTAAGAATGTTTTATTTTAATGTATCCTATCCTATATCTTATATACTATCATATATACTCCGATACTATATATATACAGAGTATAAAGTAAAGTTGCATTGTTATCCACTAATGAGGTGGATATATGCATTTCCCATTTAGATTTTTTTAAAAGATCTTTGAATATATTTGTATAAATCTTTTTCATTTTTTAATAATTCTATAAATATATATTTAACCATTGTAAAATATACTCCATATTATATATAGGGTGGGGGTTTACCGGGGGTTAGAAAGGTAAGAATCGTCAATTTTACGAACGGGGCACCAAAGCACTTTCGGATCATCCCATGACATTGGAACCCAATGTCATGGAAACCTTGGTTATATATATATATATATATATACACACACACACACACACACACATATTTATTAATTAAATACTTTGTACAACTTATTTTAGTTTATTACTTTTCAAAAAATGATTATATAAATTTAATCACATATGCATATCTATTAATTAAATACTTTGTTTCAAAAAATTTATCTTATTACATTATTTCTTTTATTTCTACATATATTTTTTAAAAAAGTAAATAGAATAAAATTGATTTAATTGAAGGGTGACAACTGACAATTGACAAGTGACATTATGACACATATACATTCTTTAATAATGTACCATTATGTAAATATTAATCCACTTTTTATTAAAATATTTTATTAATTGAAACTATTTTTATTAGTGCTTAATTAAATGACCATTAATTTTGTAGAACTTGTTTATTTTTAAATTAACATATCAATATATATTTCACCAGTTTAAAATATATTTTGTCACAATTAGAAAACTAAAACAACTAAAATTAGATTTATAGAATTTTAAAAATTTAGAGTATGTACGAGCCCGTGCGAAGCACGGGGTAAACACTAGTTTTATCCGTATGATTTTATAATTTTATAAGATTATGGTTGTTTGTTTATACATAATTAGAGTTACTTAAAAATTTTATTTATTTTCTAACATTAACTATTACTTATGAAATTAACCAAAAACCTTGAAGAAATACTAAAATAAAAATATATTATTCTTTTTAAACATTAATAATAATAATAATATTATTATTATTATTATTATTCCTCGGCTCGAATTTCTGAAAGGGGTAGGTCAAAATATGACCGGTCACTTTCCGTGATTACAGAATCAGAATAACTCTTCGATTGAGACGGGTCAAAAGTTGACCGGTCACTTTCGTGAAAAAGTGACCGGTCACATTTTGGGCGATAGCCAAAATGTCACCTAATGTTACGAAGGACATTCCGGAAGACCAGAGAGACGGGTTGGGCTCAATAAATAACCGATCGACCTTCAAGGAAAGGTGATTGGTCATATTCTTCTACTTAGCTAATGTTCAGTGAATTTCCCACGTATAGCAGTCAGCATGAGAGGCCAGGGGACCACCCCGCAGTTCATCCATCACGAGGCATACAGTGAAAGGGATGTTTGTCATCTTGTATGGTTGATTGGATTGAGAATATCCACCTTATAGTCTTTAATTGAATAGTGTCTTGGCTTGTAGCTACAAAAATCACTGATTGAATAGTGATTACATTATGTACAGTGACCTTCCTCCGGGTTTCCTATTTTGTCCATAGATGAACACAGGAAGGTCACAAATCCTCCTCTATAAATATGATGATTATGGATAGAAAAGGGCATCCAAATTTTCTCTCACTAAAGTGCACTCTTGAGACAGAGTAAGAAATATAATTCGGACTTAATTCGGACTCAGGAGATTTACCCGCTCTAGGTCATACTTTCTGTTTTTGTTGTGTGTATTTTAGTATGAGTCGAGTGTGTCCAGGTCAAACCCGGTCAACCCACCCAGTTATATTTACACCATCAATTATCATAAATTTATTAGCATAAAATAGTATATTGTGTTAGAAATAAAGATAATACAAATATTGTTATGAACAAAATGATAGACATATACCTTGATAAGAACACAAATGAAAGATCAAAGTACAATGGAGAATGAAAAGAGAAGGAATGCAATGAGAGACTAAAGAGATGAATCATCCATTTCAACATATAGTGCCTCTATATATAGGCTTACAAAGGGGAAAAGCAAAGGTCTAATTTAAGGGGATAATCAAAGGACATGGAGAACATCAAAAGACATTTGTACATAACACTCCCCCTTGGATTTTGGATGTTCACCATTTAGGTAGACTTGAGCTTAAGACACTGCCTCGTTAAAACCTTGCCAAGAAAAACCCAATGGGACAAAAACTTGGACGAAGGAAAAAGAGTACAATGCTTATAATGCTCCCCTGGACATGGCAAAAGATCCTTGAGTTGACGCATTCCAATACCATTGATCATCTTCCTAAATGTAGTGGTTGGCAATGCCTTTGTGAACAAATCGGCAAGGTTATTGCATGACTGTATCTGACAAACCTCAATGTCTCCACTTTTCTGAAGCTTGTGCGGATAGAAGAATTTTGGTGATATGTGCTTTGTCTTGTCGCTTTTGATGTAGCCAATTTTAATTTATGCAATAGAAGCAGCATTATCTTCATAGAGTAATGATGGAGCCTTATTCAAAGATAATCCAGAAGTTTCTCGAATGTGATGAACCATTGACCTTAACCATGTGCATTCTCGATTTGCTTCATATAGCGCCATTATCTCCGAGTGGTTTTATGAGGTTGCAACTAGTGTTTGCTTTACTGATCTCCATGATATTGCAGCACCACCACAAGTAAAAACATATCCACTTTGCGATTTACCCTTATGTGGGTCAGAAAGATAGCCAGCATCAGCGTAACCAACAACTAGTGATTCTGAACCTTTCGAATAAAACAGGCTTATATCGGTTGTTCCACGAAGATAACGTAATATATGTTTGACACCATTCCAATGTCGTCGTGTTGGTGCTGAGCTATATCTTGCCAACAAAATAACCGAAAGGCTATATCAGGTCTTGTACAATTTGCAAGATACATTAGCGCCCCTATAGCACTTAAATAAGGTACCTCTGGACCTAAAAGTTCTTCATTATCTTCTCGAGGACGAAAAGGGTCCTTTTTTACATCTAATGATCAAACAACCATGGGACTGCTCAATGGGTGTGCCTTATCCATGTAAAATCGTTTTAGGACCTTTTCCGTATATGTTGATTGATGGATAAAAATCCCATTTGATACATGCTCGATCTGCAGGCTGAGACAAAACTTGGTTTTCCCGAGATCTTTCATTTCAAACTCTTTCATTAAATAGCTTGCAGTCTTTATTAACTCTTCTAGTGTTCCAACAAGGTTTAGGTCATTTACATATACTGCTATGATAGCAAATCCAACTTCAAATTTCTTGATGAAAACACATAGACAAATTGGATCATTTATGTAACCTTCTCTAACAAGGTATTCACTAAAACGGTTATACCACATTCTACCAGATTGAATCCGTATAATGATCTCTGTAACTTGATTGAGAATAACTCACGAGCTTTCTGATTGCATGTTTCAGGAATTTTGAACTGAGTACTTTATTCATCATATGTCGGGGTATTTATACATACACAGGGAGCAGGTAAAGTCTAGGTAAACAAGGTAACCAGATATTCTAAATAATAAGAGTAATATATGTGCCATATTTAACACTGCCCCTAAGATATATCATCGTTCATTATACACTAACAACATTATGCTACACGATAATGTTGGCTAGGTTCTTTAGGACCTATATTAACTGATACTGCAGGATCAGTTATGCTGCCTCAGTTATCTGGTCGTGCTCGCTCAGTCGACTTCCAAGAAAAAGTCTTATCACCATATGTGAACACATTACCAATCTAATTTCACCATTAAAATTTGGTATTGCAGGACCAAGTACTTCTTCGCCCTCTTCTGGGAGGCGATTAGAATGTTATGAATATATATATATATGAATGAACAACCATAGGTATGTTCAAAGGATGAGCTTTATTCATATTTCAACGTGTTAACATCTTCTGGATGTAGTTTAACTTATGGACAAATGTGCCATCATATAGGTGTCTAAAATACAATCCAAAGTATAATTTATGTCATGTCAAGATCTTCCATCTCAAATTCTCTCTTCAAGAGTTCAACAGTTTTTTTTTGTTTTCTCTATCTCTTCAGGAGATCTAATGATATTTATACGTCGACGTAAACTGCTATAATAAAGAATATTGAGAGCGATCCTTGAATGACAACACATAGGTTGATTTCAAATTTGTATCTTTCTTTTTCGAGATATTCACTCGGTCAATTGTACCACATACGACCAGATTACTTAAGACCATTCCACGATCTCTTCACACATATCTCGATGTATTAATTTTATTTCTTTTGACATTTTGAATCCTTCAGGGATTATTATCACACAGATGTTGATTTCAAGTGTCCCTTATAATTATGTTATAACGACATCTATATCATTTATTTGAAGTCCTTTTGAGATTGTGAGGCCAATTAAAATTCTAAAAGGATATTGCATCCACTAGTGGAGAATGCGTTTCCTCATAATCAACTCCTGAGATTAGGGGAAAACCCTTGCCTTACAAGTAGTACTTCATATCGCACAATCTTATTCATTTTATTTCTGTTTATCACAGACACCCATTTTAAACCTATTGGTT